CCCAGACCAAGCCCTTACTACAGTCAGACAGAACCCCCCTTCCCCCTCCCTTCTAGCTTATTGGCAGCGTGAACCCCCTAGCATAGACCCACCCCTAGGGCTGTACCAAAGCAGACATGAACCCCCTAAGCCTAAGGCTATGTTTGGATTGAGGGAGGTAAAGTTTTATTAGGTAGGTAATGGTAGGTATTGAAAGTAGGTAATTAAAGGTAGGTAAAGTAAGGTAATAGATTGAAAATTTGTGTTTGGATAATTACTAGGTAATGTAAGGTAGGTAAAACAATAAAATTACTAAAAACCCCTGTGCCTGTTTTGTACTTTATTAGTTTGTTGTATTTATCTCAATATAAATAATAAAAAAAGTGACGTCCGTCAAATCATAATTGACCTTTGACATAAAACTATATAGTTTTCTAATTACGTAAAATAATATTTTGCTAATTTTTTATAAGGTAAATCTAATAAATTATTTTTGTATCAATTTAAAACATTCTTTTTATTTTATTTAATAGAATAGTTGCATGCACACCTTCCCGATTTCTTTTTTTAGCCATGCTATAATATGAGCATATTACTATTCAAACAAATTCAAATTACTATTCTACAAAGATTCTTTTAATCTGTATCAATTACTATTCTACAAATTCAAACAACGCATATTATAAAATCCTAAATTCAATAAACAACAAATTTTATTAAAACCACCAATAGCTCCAAGAAAATGCAAAAAAAAACAGGATATAAAACATCAAAAAACATATAAAAAAACAGGATATAAAACTGCAAAAAAACAGCAAAAAAAAGAGTAAAAAAACATAAAACATGTCCCAGGGCCGGTCCCGAGAATTCATGGGCTTAGGCCGAAACAGAAAAAAGGCCCTAAAAATCTTATCCCTTATGGTCTAACAAATTAATATATGTAAACTAATAATATTTAAATAATAATTAACACAATATTATTAGAAGAAAAAAGTAAATTAATATATCATAAATTCATATCAATTCTTCAATTTTTATATTTTTTGTTTTTCAGTTTTAATTTTTTTATATATCATAAATTCATATCAATTTTTCAGTTTTTAATTTTTTTTTAGTTTTCGGTTTTTTATAAATATATCATAAATTCAAATCAATTCATCCAAATCAAACAAAGAACATATAGAACCATTAATTCATCCTATTTCATAGCAATTAGCAAAGATTTCTAATTAAAATTCAATCATTAACCCTAAATTTTAAATCTAAAGAATGAAAAAATGAAAGAAAAAAATTACAAAATTGGAAAGCTATAAATACGGAATGCCTGGAGGCTGGAGGGTCGGCTCCCGGCGGCGTCTGGACTCTGGCGGCGGAGGCGTCTCTCTACCGGCAGTTTTCCGATTTGGCGATTTTGTTCAGTCGGCCTCTACCTGCGTTATTTTTTCTTCTTTGTGTACGGGTAAGAAGGATGCTGACTAAAGAGACGGGCCTTTAGGCTATGGGCTTCTTATATACACACATAACATATTTAAAAAAGTTGGGTCTCTTAAATTCATTGGCCCGATCCAGGCGGACTGTTTGTCCCCCTATTGGGCCAGCCTTGACATGTCCAAACAGTTTAAAAACAGCAAAAAATATTTAAAAAAATAGAGAAAAACAGGATATTTCAATAAAGAGCGAAATAAAGCAAAAAACAGAAAAAAAGAAAAAAACGGCGAAAAATAGCAAATAAAACATGATATCCTATATCCTATATCATCATACCATATATATCATATATCATATATCATATATCATATATCACATATCATATATCACATATCAGATATATATATATATATATATATATATATATATATATATATATATGTATATATATATATATATATATATATATATATCCTTTATTATAATATTTGAGACTCGGGCTCACAGAATGTCGACATGTGGCGGGTATACTTGGCAAGTTTTTTATGAGTCATCCTCCACCTTTGATGACTTTATTGACTTGACACTTTTATATTAAAATATAGAAAGATCCAATTCTAATTAGTATGCCTAATATATACTTTATAAGGCGACTAAAATATAATTACGAAGTAGAAAAATAAGAAATTAATTATGAGTAATTTTTAAACTTTTTTCTAATGTATTTTGATTAATTATAATGAGTGCAATGTAAAAAAGCACCATAGTTCTTTCTATTATTGATAATATATGTTTAATTTATTTTTTTTTATGTAAATTAATTATTCCATTGAATAATAATAATAATACGTTTAAGTTAGAACAAATTGAAAAGGTTAAAAAATGAGAAAGACTATTATAGAAGTAAAATATAAAAAAAGTATCAAAATTACTTATTTTGACTTCTACCTCAATACTTCTCCCTCCTAACTATTACTGTCATTTGAGTTTGCTCTCATCTTTTTTTATTGTCTAATCTAACGCCTAACATTTGATAATTTTAAAAATAATTAAAATTTTGATTCTAGGCATTTTTTTAACTAAGAAAATTACAATATCCAAAGTCGACACTTAATCATAATGTTCAATAGAGAGAGAATCATGAGTGTTTCTT